CGCACATAGATTGCAACATGAAACCGCAATACCTTGTCTAATTCTTTGGAATCGAAACAAAGGCAAACTCACATGCCAGCGAGCGGACTCCTTGAGACTTTTATAAAAGGAAATAAAAAATATATATATAAAATTTTTTTTTACTTTTTTTTTGGGAACCAAGCTATTAAAGAATTTTTGGGTTATATTTCTTTTATTTATTTTATTCACATTTCCTATGGAGTTTGAGGTCGGCTTGCGGTTCGGTTTATGGAACTGCTGCACCCATACGCATACAACGATAAAGCTCTGATGCCCAAAGCATCGAAATATGGCTTTTAGATAGATAAAGAGATGAGGGCAGGCTAAGCCACTTTGACTTCTGAATTCAGGCAGTCCGAGTCAATTTAGCATATGAATAAAGACACGCTGCGGTGCGCCTTGGAGCCTCCGGTGCGGCGCGTCTCCACTTTATATGCAAAGCGAAATGCTTGGGTAGATAATGCCAGAGAGCTATTGATTTGTATGTGACCATGTTGAAGATCCAGCTCTGATGATGCCACCAGCACACTGCTCAGGGCGTGATGACACCAGTGTTTATATGAAATAATTAAATGAAGCTCATAAAAGTGAAATATAATAAATTTATGTAAAGCTATGTAACACGCTCCAGCTGAAAATGGCCAGAAATGAGATAAGGCCGAAATGACAGCAAATAAATAAAAAATCATTAAGAGCGGCGTTTCTTCTTCTGGTTTCGGTCATTGTGAACGAGGCGGCCGGAAAAAGAGAGAAATAAAACAGCGACAAAAGACTAAACACCAAATAAAGCATCGAGGCGATGGGCAAGAAACCAGATTTAGCTAATCTTTCAGCTTTATAGGCGGTTCTGGCTTTGATGTAAGCCAACAAATCAGTGAAACAAATTATTATTTACCAAAATTCAAATGCCTCTGCCTAATAACACAAAAATCGATTTGCCGAAAATTCATTCACAACTTGTGACAGCTCAACGAAACAAAAAGAAATAACTATAAAATGTTGGTAAGGATGCTGAGCTAATGAGTGCTCGACTAGCACATACCCAGCACCAAGCGAATATCGTATATATAATGCTATAGAGTCTGCATCTTAAGATACTTAAGGGTCAGAGTCCAAGCCTACCCTCTCTCGGTGCTGGTCTAGGGTATTAAAAACAAAATAAATGTTTTAAAAAATTAAATGCACAATTATTAAAGGTGTTTTCGCCTTGAATGGAATGGACATTGGTAAGCAATTATGCTAATGCCCTGCTAAAAATGGCCAGCTAAATATACATAATAAAATAATGAAATGAAACAAGATTCGAAGTCCGAAATCTGAAGTCTTAAATCTGAAATGCGAATAAAAACAAATACGAAATCAAAAAATCAGTTTTAAGACCAACTGTTCACTAGGTTGAAAATGTTTAACATTAATCTTGACTGATAAATTAAAAAAGAATTAATTAATATCAACAGCGAACACTTGTCGTCTCACATCTCTGCCGCGCCGCCATTCTCGCTGACATTCGGTTTATTATAATTTTTTTAATTACTTTGACAGTTTTTTTAACATGAAATTGTTTGAGAATTTATGTTTTTTTTTTTTGCACTATATTCTCGAAACGATCGTGGGTTGGTATATTATTTTTTTTTCATGGGCATGCAGAGCACGTAAACATTGTTCATAATAATACCCAAAATTCAAAATTCAGAACCAACAACTACAAGTAAAACTGTGAACAACACCCTAAAGTCACGCCCCAGCAAAAAAAGGCAGAAACAACACTTGAATTTACGAGTATTTTTTAAGCCTTTTTTCTCAGTTGAAATCACTTAACCGTTTTTTTTATGGAAGCTTTATATTGCTGACAAATTGTTTGTTGTTACAAAGGGCCCCTGGTCACACCCTCAAACATTTAAATATATATTTACATAAATCAGATGCATATAGCAGGTAAGTGGTTCGTAAGAGAACTGAGCAGAATAATTTCAGAAAGCTTTCGCTTCCTGAATCTCAGCTGAGCTCTGATTTGGTATATATAATTTGGTACATCTTCGTGCCTGAGTTGTTGCAAATGACTTTTCGGGGTATATTTGTTTGGTAGAAGGTACCCCCAAAGTCATAAAGCTTTTGATTAAGATAACAATGAGATTTCATCTCGCTAGAGTCTCGAGATTTCCGGTTTACATTAAGCAGAATAAGTTTCATTTGAAATTCAGCTGGCCGCTGTTGTTAGGGTCTGTGGTAGTCGGTCTGGGCCGGCTCTTGTCTTGTCTCTTTTTACATTTGGGCTGACAGACAAATGTTCAATTTCTTAAAATTTGTTTTTTTTTTTTTTGTATTTAATTTTTTGTTGTTTTCGATGTCAACGAACTGAAATTTTCTTTATACTCGTATTTATTTAAAGTAGACAAAATAAATAATGAAAAAATAAGCAAAATACTGAGAAACACGAGCAGAGCGTCGTCCGACCGAAGCATATACTACATGCATATTCAGATTCTAAACAGTATGTGAATATTATTGTATTCGAATACAAATTAGACCGCGCAGCATCGAGGCTCTTACAGCAAGTGCTTCGAACCGATGGCGCCACATAATAAATGAGACAATTTATTTTTAACAAAAAACCCGACACTAAATCCACCAGAATAATATAAAAATAAAATTATATTTCCAACAAACTATGAAGAAGGAATGTTCATCTAAACTGAAATACTTCGGAAAGGCACGCTTGGTTCAATTTGTGCTGCGAGGTTTCAATAGGGGTTACGCAGTAAGAGTGTTATCAGCGTTTTTTACTTGGAACTCACAGCACTAGAGCCTGTGTTTTTGTGTGTATGAATACCATTAAACATGTGTCGGATCAGACAGCCGTAACGACTTCCTAATACGCAACCAACATTATTTATGAATTCCATTTACATTTACAAGTATGAGTTCGTGTTGTTTTCGAGATTTCAACACCTCGCCTTCCAGTTACATCTGTCGTCTATCCTCGGCTCAAGCTTGTGAGAACGCTGATCAAATGCTAATGGATAATACCCAACAGCCGTAGTTGATGGATGTCAAATGTTGCTTTCCGTTCTGTTAACATGGGCAAAAATAAACGTCACGTTCCGTCACCCATCAACAGATTGATCCAGCTAATTCTCACACCTCAAAGCTAGTTCCCGAAAAGCGACATTATTCGCAATTAACATACAGATCGTGTTTTCTGCAAATTCATCAAAAATCTATCTGAAATATGTGCTGCATATTCACTTAAGATTTGCTTGCTGCCACTCAACTGCAGCAGCTGCAGAAAATCTCATTCATGCCATGCCAAAATTGTGATATCCAGTTGTCTTTTAAGATAAGTAATATGATCTCTCAAAGACTCACTCGATATTCGAGCATAGTCATGGCCAAGTCATAGTATAAGTGATCATATTTCACCTAAATTATTAACTAAATATACAATTGTTTTATTGTAGGGTTATAAAACTCGAACGAAAAGAACCTATTCACCTGCTGATTCTGCGTCTGTTGGTTTAGGTTGGTCGTCAGACATTGTATAAAAAAGAGAAAACAAAACAGAATTTGACAACGGAAGCACCTGTCGCTGGAGTACCCAAACAATTAAATAGCGCAGACTTTTATCGGTCGATCTCAACATAAGTACACATGCATTAATCTTACTGTACATATATGAATAGAACTGTTCTTGTACATAGGCCTGGTCTCTAACGTAACGCCTAGTTAGTGAGTCAGTGGAGATGTGAGCGGTCTCTGAACAGTCAAAGAAACTTAAGTAGAAGCCTTACTCTTCGACTGCAAATTGAACTTAGTAGTAGTGCGGGTATTGCAGAGTCGAGCATGGCCCTCAATTTGCTTAAATCTAATGTTTATTTTGAGAGCATTGATTAGGTTCGAAATCCATATTTTCTCTGCCAGCCCAGGGGATTCGCATGATTCCCTGCGGAGCTGGCGATATCTCACTATTTATCCAATACTCTTATACAATTTCATACAATTTAACTGAGCGAAATTGAAATTTTTGTTTTATTTTTCTTTTTCAATTTTATTTTCTTTTCATTTATTTATTTATTTATTTTTTTTACTGTCTGTGCAGCGAAGCGTGTGTATTCAAATGCGATGGTCATAGCGACGACGCTTTCTTTGTCTCTTTGAGCTTCGCTCAAAATGAAAAAAAAGTAAATATAAAAAATAAAGGGAAAAAAGCAAAACAAAAAAAGAGCGAAGCAGACAAAAAATAGCGACAAATCAACCGAATTTATAAAAGAAATGAAAGAACTCGACAAATCGATGCGAAATCGAAGCAATAAATTAAGTTGGGCTTCGAGAGGGCAGCCAAAAAAAAAAGAACAAGTAAGAAAGCCCGACTAGAAGATACCCAGTCCCATCTGCGTCTACAGATTCTATTGAATTATTTGTCAGCTTAATACATATGCAAACTCCTTCACATACTGGCTCTATTTTCAGCTGAACTTAAATTTCAAGAAATCAGCGAAATCTGAAGCCGGTATCCAAAATATAACAAAAATCAAAATTGTAGAAAATATGCATTGAAATAAATACTGAATTTGGGGGCTCTAGCTCTTAAGCCGTACGAGATGTAATTTAATAACTACAGTTTGATCATGCTTTTAATCGATAACAATACAATGGGAATAGTTATCGATTATTTGAAACAAGCTTTATGTGCGCGCGCTATTCACGGACAATTTCAAGATCGGCGCGTTCACACAGACGGGCAGACTGACGGACAGGGCTCAATCCCCTCGGCTTGTCGTCTTGAGCAATAATATATATATTTTATAAGGTGTGCCATGCCTCCTTCTGCCTGTTGCATACATTTGCACAAAACCATTATACCCGATTTACCATTTTCAATGGTATCAGGGTATAAAAATAAAATAAAAGAAAAGAAAAGACCGATATATTGTATGCAATGCTAAGGGCTAGGCGCGCCTCTATGTTGAATTGGTATTTACCTGTTTCTCGACCAGCGCGTGCGTGTAGATGAATTCCTTTTTGGGTGAGTAGAGTTCCGGCGGATTGCCTTTGAGTGAATACCGCAGGACACTGTCGTCGACATCCACATCGAGATCGGCGCCTGCGCGGCCCAATCGCATCGCAGGGACCTCTGTGTGTTCGGGGCATAGCCTGGAAGTAGCGTCCATCTTTGGCAGAGATGTAGCCTCCACGTCGGCCTTGCGGAGCAGCTGATGGACTTCGGCTGCTGCCATTGCCGACTCCGTCAACATGGCGGGCTGTCGCTGGGCCTAGAGTTGTCAGTCGTCAATCAACCACCAGCGAAGCACGTGCAACAATGTGCGAATTTGTGGCCGAATTTTGTTTGCAGCAAACGTGGCTTGGTCGAGCGGTCTTGGCGGTGTTGTCGCGCTCGGTACGGGGCTAATAGCTAATTATGTTTCTATTATGTTGATATTTTGGGTGCTTTGCTTATTTTGTTAATTGAATTTCGACGGTGCCGTGCCCGCTGCCCCTGTTGATACACAAAACAAGTAAGAACTTTGTAGTCGGCTGCTACCGACCGCATAATGCTCGTTCACGATTCAACAACATTTGGACTTGCCAAAATTTCTAACTGTGATAGTGGTTCATGAAGTGTTCCCCTTGAAAGATTAGGCTTGGATATATATATCATTTTTGTTTAATCTACAGTTACCTGACTAATCAAATATATAGTCTTAGCACGCGCCCAAAAGGGGTGGATATACATAACCCTAGCTAAATCAATAAAGAAAGTCATCAGTAATCCAGCCCACACTTGCTCACTTTTCGGATGCTACAGTTTGACATGACCTGTCACGCCCTTACGTATCGGTATCATCTTGGCACATTGTTAACTGCGAGTGCGCAGAAAATCCAATTTGACTGCGTGAACGAGCATCAAAATGATGTCTTGAGATAGCTACTACTCCCGCTGCTGATGCTGCTGTTGCTGCCGTTGCTGCTGTTGCCGGCAGCTGATTGTAATTTCATAATTATTTTATCATAACAGAATTATGGATAAAAAAAGATTTGAAGAGTATAGCAACAGATAGCCACTTAAAAGTGTATGCAAACAGTGATAAAACTAAGGTGACGTATATATGCAGAGATATGTATGTATATATGCAGAGATATGTATGTATATGCATATGTACGCATATGTGGGTATGTATATGTATGCATAGATACATGTTTATTTGTACACATGTGGCTAAGCCTGTCGCATCCAATGTTTCAGTTTAATTCTTTGCGCACTAAAGATACATAGGTTAGCATTTAGATACACAGTAAGCACAGTAATTTCAAGTTTAATGTTTGATTCACACAAGAACATTTAGCATTCGTCTCGTATATGCAGGTTTATAGGCTTTTATGCATTTCGTGTATTTGTTTTGTTGCACACTCGACTTAACTTTTAACAACATTTGCATTTTTTTTATTATAAAACTTTTTTTTTATATAACTTAATTTTTTTTTTTATTTTTTTTTTTTTTTTGTTTATTGAAACTTTTTCTTATCATCGCATCTAGAGAAGGTTATGACCGACTCAAACTTGACCATTTCATTTGCATACAAGTTCGCACACGCACGCACACACACACACAACCACACACACACATACATACAGACAGGCTCTCACACATGCAGAATGGGCAGATTCATATCCATGCTGTTAGAAGCATTGTAGTTACCGTTAGTAGCATTAATTGTCACGTCGCGTAGCCGAACATTATAGATTATTAGAGATGTAAGCTGTCAGGATTTTCGAACGAACCGAGCGGTGCCCGCGCAAAATTGATCACGACAAAATTGTCGAAAAAACAAAACAAACATTCAAAACCGCAGTCCGCGCGTTGTCGCTCTTTTGAGTTCGATTCCCCGACTATCAAGCACAAACTTTTTGTTCATGCGTCTCAACTCACAGCACTCACGATCACTCGCACACACATACACACATACACACACATATATACACACACGTGGATGCTTACACTCGCGCAAAGCGCGAATCAGACGGAGAGCGGAGAGCTATTGAAGAGAGCGATCGTGAAGCATTAGTTTGTTCCATCAAATTTATTTATATTTTTAAACGTGTTTCGTGTATAAATATAATCAAAAGGGTCAAACTGTTTTTGTCTTTAGTTCCGATCACAATTTTTTGAATATCAATATCGGGAAGCAAAAGTGCAATAAGATAAAACCGCCGAATTAAAAACTAATTAATTTCTCTACCCACAGCTGAGCCAGAGCAACCATGATCTGAAGAAGCGTTTGAATATTATCGCAGAATCTGAAGCACCATCACCGTTCAGCTGCGTTTACCAACTCATCGGGATAACCGGGCTAGAAACAGCATAACCACAAGTTGCATGCTTTAAAAGAGCGAAATAAATAAGCCCTCAGACGAAACTTAACACGCCAAGCCGAACAGAGCTTTAATTCTCTTTCATTAGTTGAACAAGCATATATGTACGTATATTGAGCTTTCGCATTCAGCTTTTGACTCGATCGCAGCTTTTGGTAAAGCGTCTCTTTATTTTTGGATAACCTTTTTCTTTCATACCCTTAATTCCCGTTGATAATGCCGGCGAAAGAGAAATATGTTCTTGAAAAGTGAGTGACAAGTGAGAGCCGTTTTCGACCGTGATTAACACCTGAAAATCATTTTGACTTTGGAAATAATCTAACCGAACTCACAAAACCAGCTAAGAAAAGTTTTCAAAGTCTCTCGTTGACTTTTCAAATTTAACTGTTTTCGTACTCTCACAGAGCTAACAACAAATGTCCCACGCATTGCGGCTTTTAATGGATTCACTTATACATACTTGTCTCATTTTGAAAGTCGTTCTTATCTGTGAGTCTGATAAACGTTACCTCTATGTTACTGCTTGAGCAGATAGATTACTTTATTTTTACTTAATCGATAAATATCGGTTAATCTTTTATTTGTACATATTTTATTTAGTTTAAACAGGCTTTGCTCTTCCCCTTGTAGTAGGAGGTATTATCAAGGGCACACGTTTTTGCTAAACCAATATTATTAAACTGTTCATTTAACTTATCTTTATATTAGTTAGTACTTGCAACAATGTTAAATTTACCGCACATGCGGCTGGTTTTCGTAAGAAATTTACTGCATCATTCTACTACTATCTCGCAATTCTGTTAGAATGTTATGTAATATAATGCAGTAAGTAATTGCTTATTGTTTACTTTAACAATGCATCTAAAAGCTATCAGATCCCATCTAGATTAGAAACATAAAAATATATATCAAAAGCACAGAGGGCTACTCAAAAGCTTAATATCATACTTGAGTTAAGGAAACTCTGTAGTTCTTACCATAAGCAATTGACCCCATTGAAGACATATATTTATGCATTTTATTATTATTAAATTATTAACCTGAGCCGACTGAATCTGAATGCATTATTATTAATGATTATCGTAATGATTATGCTTTAGGTGATTTCATCTCTTTAAAGAATTGCCAAATTATAAGGCATCGATTTATATGATTTATATTTATTTATTTCTCATATATCAAAGGGGCACACAGAGGCTTCTCAAGGTCCATATCTATACTTAAACTAAAAAGTTCTTCATTCATAGCGTCTATGCCAAATTACCATATCAAGCAATTGACCTCTTTGCATATAGAAATATTTTCTTTAATCAAACGCAGCAGCCGAAGAATTAATCAATTAAAAGACGAGCGCTCGTTAGCCATATTAAAATATAGTTGAAAATTAAAAATCCATTTCGCATAGAAAACTTTTGCTCTGCAGTCATAAAAATAATTGTTTTTTTTTTTTAAAAAAATTTTTTGGCACAGCTAGAAATGCTAATTGAAAAGCAGAGAGCAGGCAGCAGGGAGAGTATGACCCATAGCTGCAGGCCCCATGCTGCAACAAGGCGTGGCAGGGCAGGGTAGAGCTAAATAAACATAAGCAACATATGTTGTGTAATTAACAACAGTGCAACGTGAATTACAAGTCGGAAATGAAAATGAAATCAAAAACATAAACCATTGCTGGTTCAGTTTCTGTTTTATTTTCATTCCCATTTCCATTTTATAGCATGTTACAAAATATCATCAGCAATTTCATCTCGAAATACTCATTGTATTCGAATTTTAGAAGGTAACAAGGTTAAGTATATAAATGGCCAAATTTGGCAAAATATTTAAAATATTTTAATATATATTTAAATTTATGAAAATATTAATGGAAAGTTATTCAAATAAAATTGTAAAAAATTTAAGAATTTAAGTCAATGAATTTTTGGTCGATCTAAGCCATACCAAAGCCCTAACTATATTAATAAATATTTAATTTTAATATTGCATTTAATATTTAATTTAATAAAAATGTAATTGCTCAGACTACTTCAAATAAAATTACTCTAGATACAGAGTATTTGCCAAACGACTATTTTAAACAGAAAATTTAATACTATCATTTGAGTTCCTAAAAAGTGCTTATAATATGGTCGAAGCTCTTGTGCTCTACTGACAAAAATAAAAACTAACATATGACTTATTCACTATATCCATATTATATATATATTTTAATTAATAATAAATAAAAAAAGACCAAATGTTCTATTGGCTGCCATGTCAAGCTACACAAAGAAGTCGAAGACGCCTGCCAGGCAGAAAACGCAATTGTGGTCGAAAAGATATTAGTGATCAAACGCACTTGAGGCAAACGAGGGCAGCAAGGTTTCTAAGGGAAAATGAACTGATGCTGACCACAGTGCCGGGAGTCAATGTCTCAATGTAGTATGCGCCGCTGCTGCTCTAGCTGGTCTGAGTAATTAACGCATTTAGATCGTTTAGACCGGCCAGCAGCACGCGCAGCTATAAACTTGCTTTTTTTAGCATTAGAATGGCAAAATAACTGATGCTAACCCAAGATGCTGGGCCGCGAGCGATCTCATCAAATATCTTCAGATGCAATTTTATGGCACACGCCGCTTGCGCGATCTTCTGCTCCGTGGCTGGCCGCCTCAATCGGCATATAGCCAAACATAGATGTATTTGAAGATCTACATACGCCTGGCCTGTCAGACACTGCGTCTGTTTATACACACATCCCTGCGTTCAATAATAATCGCCTGCTCTTAGTCATGTCGGGGTTGTGCCTGCGTGTGCGGTGCGTGCGCTGTTATGTTTATATAGTTTGGTGCGGTTTTGCTCGTTTTTGTGTATTTCATTATATTTCTCTTTCATTTATTGTTTTTTTTTTGTTTTTTGCTTTTTTTGCCAGCACGTTTGATTAAGAAGTATTGATCCTGATTGAATGATGGAAAGCTTACGAAAACTTAAATGAACTGGCGAGGCGAGCCGATAGGCAGCAACTGTCAGCTGAAAGAGCTGTGAGCTGTGAGCTGTGGAGGCCATTTAAAGCAAACTCAGGTTTTGAAAGTTCGCTTGACAGCTGCTCAATCAAATCAAATATTTGGGCTAACTAAACACAAACCTTTTTGACATTCAGCCCCCCCTCGCGCGCGTACTGGCATGCCATGCGCCTGAAGATGTAGCACAGTGATGTATAAATTCTCAAAATTCGCAAAAATCAAATTCAATTACGTGCGCTGTCAATCAACGGCAGGAATCGAACTCGGAGTCGGTAAAAGACATGCGTAAGAGCATTTTAGTGCGCAAGCTGCGTGGCCGAGTCGTCTATTTTTTTCTGTGTTGTTTTATTTTTGCGTATATATCTTAAAGATACATTTTACTTAAGTGTATGGCATACATCATCCATTCAACTACGTCCACATATGTACATTTAAAGTCTTTATTGCACGCGTACGACGGCCGACAGACTATATAGAATCATTTCCAGATGGCGATGTGCGTTGACCCTGAGACGAAACGCCCACGCAATGGGCAAATATAAACTAATGTATATATCTATGGACTATATATACATATTTATATGTATGTACATATATATAGACATTTATGTATTTCTCTACGGAAAAAGTGAAAGCGTGTGTAGAGCTACACTGTGGGCTATGGCACGGGCAAATATCAAGATGGCAAAGACTTCAAATAGAACACTTGAGGACTCGACTTTGATATACAACATTATACAATGCAAACCGCAATATACAATGATATATAAATATATATATATGTGTATCTTATCAGAATCCATTGATGGGTTAATTGCGCTCAATGAAACGGTTGTCCAATTCAAAGCTTATCCCGCAAGTAACACAAGTTTCGCATTAAAGTCATGTACTTAAACTATTTCGTCGATATGGCTGATATAAAAAAAGCGGAATTATGATGAGAAGTAGTGCTGTCTCTCGTTTGAGTGCTCGCTGAAAAGTAGCATCATAAAAATTGAATTAAAGATAGAACAATAGAGAACTATTTCCTGCAAAAGCGTCAAGGTTCGAACGCTTTGAACTGCCCGTCGACTGCAAAAAGATGTTGGACAACTAGTCGATGAATGATGCTGCATGGGCATAAAAAGTTGATAGCTGCTGTCCGCGAAGGAACAGTTTATTATTCTAGAATCAAAAGACATATTTATTGTATATGAACCGGTTCGAAGCAATTTTATATTTGACTATGAACATCGAAATTAGCTAAAGCTAAGGCCAGCAACCTGGGCGTGCAGCTCAGATATACCTGCATGGATATAAATATATATATGCATATAGACATATATGTATATATATATATATATATATAGTCAATTCTCAACTTACAGCAAGAACGTGTGTATGTCTGTGTTTTAATTGAAACATTGTGTTTTGTTTTGTTCAATGAAAATGCATCGAGTGAGACATGCACAGAAAATGTTAACTCTAAGCCACGATATAAGAAGCAACTCCTGTTGTAGTTCTCATTAATTTCTTAACTCATTGATTTCGCAAAACGAAATTGAATGCACACACATATGTATGCATTCGCGCACATACTTATGAAAATAATGAATATGCATATTAGAAATAAAAGAGCTAACCAAAATGCATAACAACAATTGGCATAATGAACAACTTGAGCTCCAAATTTCTTACATACATACACTTATGCATATATGGATATGTTTATGCCGAGTCAGCAGCACGAGTTCGTAAAGCGGCTCTCCAATTGCAGACGAGCAGAACGGCAACTGATGTGAGCGGCTTATGGCTTATTGCTTAAGCCTAAGCTCTTGACTATGGTATGTGAAATGGGCTTATTCCACAGAATTGCATATGGTACTCGATCAGCAGACAACACTCACACACACCTCTCCACTTGCCACTTGCCACTTGGCTGGTGTCATCAATCGATCCTCGACTGCGATAGGCACAGCTGTTGGCTGCAGCTGCAACCTTCTTTGGCTTTTGAATTCCGCCTAAGGCAACTGAAGACAGCTAAGTTTACACCTTCAACTGCCTTGAACTATCGACTTTAGCCATTTGACTTGCATTTTAATTACGTGCCGAGCTCTTCGCCTCTTGCATAATGCCAGCAGTGGCAAGGGGCGCACTTTTTAGTTACGGTAGCGCTAGCAAATTGTCATAATGATTTATAAACATGCAGCCGCAAGCAGAATAGAACCAGTTCAAATGGTTGACTATGAGATATGCAGTCATTTGCCTTCAGTTAGTTAAACACTTGAATAGAAACTGGTTTCATTGCTTTTCAATTTACGAATGGCATATACCCTGCTGACCTCTTCTTACAGGGTATTTTGTCTTAAGCCAAAGAGTCCCAGTCTCATGCCGATTGCTGTCGCCGTTCATTATGAAATTTATCTATATAGTTACCAATATATTCACATTTATCAAACACAATTGACCTTTGGCAGACCAAACCAGCAGAACAATGGCGACGCCTAGATACTGCGCCCCAGACCCCACAGAGAAATTAATTATAGTCTTGTAAATTGTCATGAACAAAATTATTAATTGATCGCAGATAAACGACGTCTGGCGCAACAGAAGAACAACAGCATATAATATCGGCTCGAATTAAACGACATTTACAATATACTTACAGCTGGCGCCATGCGGAACTCATAGACAAGGCCCCGTGACAAATCGCTGGGAATGCTGTTTCTTAAAAATGTAAATCCTATGCAGCACCAAATTAATTTAATAAATTAATCAAAAACTTTAGTATGCCATCACGTTTATGCTTATGTAATACCCAGCCATTAGTAGGAACCTGGGACAGGTAAATAAATCGTACAGCTAATATGGCAAAATATGTTTAAAACAGGTAAGAGTGCTGTAGTCGTTAGAGCTGGCTAAGAAATAACCCAAGAAACATGTAGGGAATTGAAGAGGAGTGGAAGACTTCATAAATTTCAAATAATACAACTTAAGGCAAATTACTGAAGTGAGATCGATTTTAATCGATAGCTATCATGGAAAATAAAAATATCTATAATTTGAAATAATTTGACCTGTGCAGGTTTCATAAACTACTTATGGGCTCTAGCTCTTATAGATTCCTAGATGAACTCATGCATTCATAACTACAGACAGGACAAATGGAGAGAGCTAGAGCGCCTCGGCTGAATAAGTATAGAGTAGAGGAAGGGAGTAAAAGATGAAGAGCTTAAGAAGTTGAGGTGGAAGAAATGTGGAAGCAATAAATTGTTTCTACAAGTTTACAGGCAAAACATGAAAGCATACTAAATTGAATGCCTTTATTAAGAGTGAAGTTAATGTGATATTCGCTTGTCGAACGAAATATTATTTATTATGGAACAATTATAATATTTATATTTATATATGTTAATTTTATTTTTATTATATATAATATTTATATTTTGTTAAACTCTCAATAAATATTTTTTGTATAAAATTTGTTTGGCTTTTTGTCCACATTGAAAGTATGCAATACTTTCTGATCAACTAAAAAGAGATTGAAGCAAGGGACTTTCCTGTTTTGTGTTTTCCAACACTGCGCAATGACAGTCGAGCTGTTAGATAATAAACCTTTCAAGCATATGCAAACCAGTTTGAGCCCAACGCACCCGCTGAACAGTCGCAGGCAATGTACGAGGACGAGGAAACGGGTTACCAAGGCAACGAGGACGAAAAAGACAACAAAGTGTCGCCCAAACAAAAACAAAAGAAAAGCAGGCGTCCAACAAATGTGCAAACAGCAAATGATTTGAGTGCCAAATCGACTGCCAGCTTTTTCAGTTTATGCATTACGGGCCAAATAGTGTCGGCGACATTTCCCTTGGGCCCGGACAAAGATTTCATATTCTGTCGCTATGAGCTGGTAGCTGGACCGGACTGGCAGCTGGCATCGGGTCCTCAATATGGAATTACACAGATGTCGACCAACAAGAGTGGGCATTTTAATGACAAAATTGTCTTCAATATGCCCATCGAAGTCACGTACAAGAGCACCAGCCCCTTCGGTTGTAAGTGCTTGGGCAGTTTGGGAAGATGCAGTTGCTCTAACATCAAACTCTTTGCAGGGCCACAGATACTAGTCAGCGTCTTTGGACAGAACGGAAATGGCAACGAAAGCCTGATGGGCTATGCACACGTTTATATGCCCATCTTCGGGAGTCGTCAACAGAACGAGCAGATCTCAAGCTTAAGTCAAGCGCCCATCCTAAGGCCCAGAAGCCCAAATATGCTGGGAGATATAACAAGTTGGCTTTTGCGACGCCAGCCGGAGCTGAAGAATCCCAAAATACTATTAGACGGTGCGCAGTCGAAAGGTAATCATAACTGATTATACCGATATACCCTATTGTACCTTATTCTATTTGCTCAGGACTATCTATGGAATCCTATGGCACTCTGGAGTTCCAGCTGCATGCGGTGATGCGAGGAGCTCGTAAGCTAGGTTACAATTGGCATGCCTGAAACCAGATAATGGTAATATATGTATATATATTTATATATAGATATAAGTATATATGTGTGTGAATAAAAAAAAGGTGAGACGAGAAAGCATTTGTCCTAATCTAATTGGTCGATTGGGGTGGGTGGGCTCGACTTGCCTTAAACTTGACCATGACTTGAGCGACTTGGACTGGGGCATGACGCGTTTGGCGCTAATCCGACGCAACAAATTTGCAGCAATTGGGGAAACGAATTTAAAATTTAGCGACTTTGGATTGGACAAGTGACAGATAATTGGATTAGTTAGCAATTAGTCTAAGACTGGCTAGACTCAAGTGCTTTCTGAGACACTGGCTACATATAAAGGCAGCCCAATAGGCCGACCCAGTGCAGTCGCGTCCAGTCCGGCGCCAAGAGGAATCTTGATAGTTATCGCAACTGCTATGGACAGTTGTGTGGAGTAGCTATCCTTGACAGCCTAAGTACAAACGACAAGATTTTTAGACTCTTTAGACTCAGAGTTGAACTACAGCTGAGCCATGATAAGTCTGAACCATCCGACTTATGCGCGTCTACGCGATGGCGGCAATGTTAGCCTGGCGGAGAGTGTGCCAGCAGAGATTATGCACATGGTGGATCCGTATTGGTATCAGTGGCCACCCATGGAGCCCATGTGGTTTGGCATTATTGGATTTGTCATCGCGGTGCTGGGGTAAGATACAAATATACAAAACTTCTTTGCCCTTGGCTGAATATTTAAATTAATTTATCCCAACCCCAAAGCGTGATGTCACTGACGGGCAACTTTATAGTGATGTACGTCTTTACGTCATCCAAGTCGCTGCGAACGCCATCCAACATGTTTGTGGTTAATCTCGCCTTCTCCGATTTCATGATGATGTTCACCATGTTCCCACCCGTCGTACTAAATGGTTTCTACGGGACCTGGATCATGGGGCCGTTCCTGTGCGAGCTGTACGGCCTCTTCGGTTCCCTCTTTGGCTGTGTGTCCATCTGGTCGATGACACTAATTGCCTACGATCGTTACTGTGTCATTGTTAAGGGCATGGCTCGCAAGCCACTGACAGTCACGGCAGCTGTGCTTCGCCTGCTTGTCGTCTGGACCATCTGTGGCACATGGGCTCTAATTCCGTTGTTCGGCTGGAATCGATATGTGCCCGAGGGTAATATGACGGCCTGCGGCACAGATTACTTTGCCAAAGACTGGTGGAATCGCTCCTACATCATTGTCTATTCGCTGTGGGTCTACCTTACTCCGCTGCTTACCATCATCTTCTCATACTATCACATCTTAAAAGTAAGCTGGATTGACCTCTCTGGTAGAAAGTAAAAATAAATACCCATTTCACAGGCCGTGGCTGCCCACGAGAAGGCAATGCGTGAGCAGGCCAAGAAGATGAATGTTGCCTCTCTGCGCAACACCGAGGCAGAGAAGAGCAAGGCCATCGAAATCAAGCTGGCCAAGGTGGCACTGACCACCATTTCGCTTTGGTTCTTCGCCTGGACGCCCTATACAATCATCAACTATGCGGGCATCTTTGAATCGATGCATCTGTCGCCACTTGCCACAATTTGTGGCTCGGTGTTTGCCAAAGCAAATGCTGTTTGCAACCCCATAGTTTATGGCTTGAGGTAGGGTCACGAAGTACAAAATCTGTTTTCAAAATTTACTTCTCCTGTTTTTAACAGCCATCCAAAGTACAAGCAAGTGCTCAAGGAGAAGATGCCTTGCCTGGCCTGTGGCAAGGATGAATTCTCCGGAGACTCGAGAACACAAGCCACCGCTGAGATTAGTGAATCTCAAGCTTAAACAAAATTAACGACGACTGCAGCTGACGACGAGGCTAACGAAGTAGATGACGGCCTGTGAGACCTACCCACAGGAACCGACAGCTTTACAAGATTTGGAGACATTCCGTTTGGTATGTGGTACAAGATCAAACTTTGCATATAAACACGAAAATCTAAAAAAAAGTTAGCATTCAAAAAAATGTAAAAAAAATTAACACAAAAAAACCAATAAATTAACTGCAATTGATACAATATCAAAATACACGATTTTTCCTAAAATAATGCAATTGTAAATATCTGAACTGCTTTATAAAGCATTTGCCCCAAAGAGTTTTACGCCTTTTTATTGAAAAATTAACACTTCAAACATGTCCATTGTTGTTCTCATTCTGTGCCGTTATCGTGGAGTCGGATGGGAAGATACCGTTTCTTTCAGCCATAGTAGGTGCTCATGTCCAGGTCAATGAGGGTGCCATTGTTGCGGCGTTCACGCAGCTCCTGCGTGAAGAGCGCACGTCCTTGCAGCAATATGAAGTCAATAAGTCGTTTATTCGAGCTGAGACGCAGTGCGTCGGGATCGCTGCGTTTGCGTAGGTAGTTAAAGCAGCAGGTTCTGTTAAAAAACTGCAGTGAGTAGGGCAACCGGAGACTGAGCGTGTCATAACTTACCGGAAATGCTTGGTGCCACAGGCATTCGCACACTCCTTGCCACAGGAGTCACATTGTATGGCATTCGAGCAGGCAAAACACATAAAGCACACGCCTAGAAAAGTATATATCAATATGGTTATCGCTGTTTTTAGTTATTACCGCTTGCTCACATAGCAATATGATCTGGAAATGCATTTCGTGGCAGCTCGTCTGAATCTTGGTTAGAAAGTGCAGCTCACCAAGTTGTGAAACTCATAGGAAGTCTTGTGATGGTCTCACTCGAGTCATACAACAGCAGCAGCAACTGAAAGGACTGAGCTCTCAGTGAATCTGTTTTTATACAGTTTCACAGGTTCACACACAGTCACACTCACACACACATTGAAATTACCACAGCAGTAAAATTCAAAGTGGTCATTCAAGCATGTTGCAGACCAGTAAGCAAAGCAATACATCCAAGTGTAAGGATGGACATGTGATGCATAATAAATTATCTTTAGACAGACAACCCCAAACGCACAATTGCAGCTTGCGCAACAAGTTTATGTAGCATACTTTTGAGGCTGACTATGTGATTGTGTATGGGTGTGCCAGTGTGTGCCTGTGTGTGTGTGTGTCTGGGTTTGTCGCAATCACAACAGTTTGTAACAGATTATAAAAGTTTTAAGTAGACCCTCTAGCAGACATGTGACGAATGTAAATTACGGTAGAAAAGTGTACAGCTAAGGTAAGAGCATTTTCTCGTTTATTATTATACACGCAATTTACATTTAATACGAAACATTTTTAGTTCATTTGAAATTCCCACCACAAATGTATGCTTTTTACGATATTTAATGTACGATATGCTTATACGATATGAACAGTGATATCAACTAGGTGGCAACGCTATGGTGCGTAGGAGCAACAGCTGTGCCACAGCAGCTGTTTTAGCTACAGCAACAAACCCGATTTTATTTAGAAAAAAATTTAACTTCTTTCTTAGATAAAACGAAATCTAGCTAAACATGTGGGAGCCACCCCGACTGAGTGCTTCGCTACGAGCCAAAACGGAACTCGAATCTAGAGCCCATCGCTTCAACGGCCTGAGAAATTCCGTTGCAAAGACTGTAGTGTCCACGACGACACCCAAAGAGTAAGCCGCTGCGATTTCCGGAACTGATGAAATTCCGTCTTCGTATAAATAAATTAATATATTCATTTTAAAGGAAAGCTGAACAGACGATAGCAAAACTGCTTGCGCAATTGCCGGCTGAGAAGCAGCCGGAGGCTAAGGCTCAGCTGCAAAAGCTACGCAATCTCGTGCAGGAGTGCATGGGCTACGAGGAGCAGCCACAAGTGGTGGAGCATGCAGCACTGTATCTGTTCTGGCTACTGCTGGATGAGCGGGTACTGCTGGTGGCCACCACCAATCGACTGCACACTATGTTCGGCAACACATTCGACCGGAAACGAACGCAAATACACAACTGTGTGCTGGCTGTAGGTGATGCATTGGAAGAGCATGAGCTGCTCGCTCTAAAGCGGTGGAGACAATCGCAACAAAAACCGTCGGAACGTCCACTTTGGGGCGAAGATATACAAGTAAATTGCACACCAGCCGAGTGGCTGGATGTTAGCTTGTTGACGAACCTGTCACCCGATGCACTGCTCAAAAATCGGGTGGTCAACAAGTTTACCATGAAATACAAGACAGCCGACGTCTCAATGCAAGCTGCAGCGCCGAGCACTGACAATTTTAAGCTTAGTTCGGAGCTGGAGACACTTCTGAGCATAGCCCAGAAAATTGAAGATGACATGCTCCTTAATCGAGTTGGCGACATCCTTGGATCGAAACGTAGTAGCGAGGATCTGCAGAACGAATTGATGGAGCTACTGGGCTTTGAGAACTTCGAATTGGTTGGACAGCTGCTACAAGAACGCAGCAAAATTGCGCAGCAGTTGGAGCAGTACGCAACAAGATCGCGTCGCATTAAGCAAGTGAAGCAAAAGAGACAGCAGACATCAACCGCCTCTGAGAAGCGGCCGACGGTGGCTACTGCAGTTGTGGTGCAGTCAGCACAGGAAAAACAACTGGGCAAGCAGCAGCGCCGCGAAGAGAAGAAACTGCACAGAATCATGCGTAGCGTCAAAGATAATGAAGAAGATCATGAAGAAGTAGGTGGCGCAGTTGCTATTTCAGCACAACAGTTGCGAATGCAACATCAACGCAAGCTGCTCGAGGCAGCACAGCGCGAACCCCTGCTGCTTAATACCAAGGCAGTTAAGGCCGAACAATCAACCTATACGGCACCTATATACTATCCCTATGTGTTCGATAGCCAACGAGAAGCCAAGCAACATGCCGGCTTCATAGGCGGCAGTCGCATCGCGTTGCCCGAAAATGCTGTACGAATAGACAATAAACAATGGGAGGAGGTCAAGATACCAGCCAGCGAGCCGCCGCCACTTACAGTGGGCAATCAGCGCATTCAGATTTCCGAACTGGATGACATTGGCCAGATGGCATTTGCCAACTGCAAGGAGCTCAATCGCATACAATCCGTTGTTTATCCTGTGGCCTATCACAGCAATGAGAATATGCTGGTTTGTGCGCCAACTGGCGCGGGTAAAACAAATGTGGCGATGTTGTCCATTGTGCACACCATTCGTTGCCATTTGGAGCAGGGTGTCATCAATCGAGATCAATTCAAAATTGTCTACATAGCGCCTATGAAAGCGCTGGCCTCTGAAATGGTAGAGAACTTCTCCAAGCGCCTAAAATCACTGCAAATCAGCGTGCGGGAGCTGACCGGCGATATGCAGCTGACTAAAGCAGAGATGGCAGCGACTCAGATACTAGTCACCACGCCCGAAAAATGGGATGTTGTTACCAGAAAGGGTAAGTCAATCAATTAACTGAAAGCTATCTTTAATTAGTTAAAGAATTTCAGGCAGTGGCGATGTGGCGTTAATCAGTCTTGTCCAGCTGCTCATCATTGACGAAGTACATCTGTTACACGGTGAGCGTGGTCCCGTAGTAGAGGCATTAGTGGCGCGCACATTACGTCTGGTAGAGTCCTCGCAGTCTATGATACGCATCGTGGGCTTGTCCGCAACGCTTCCCAACTACATCGATGTGGCTCACTTTCTGCGCGTGAATCCCATGAAGGGTCTTTTCTACTTTGACTCGCGCTTCCGGCCTGTGCCCTTGGACACTAACTTTGTTGGCATCAAATCGGTTAAGCCTCTGCAGCAAATTGCTGACATGGATCAGTGCTGCTATCAGAAATGCGTGGAAATGGTCCAACAGGGGCATCAGGTGATGGTATTCGTCCACGCACGTAATGCTACGGTACGCACGGCGAATGTGATACGAGAGTTGGCGCAGCAGAACAACACCAGCGCGATGTTTCTACCAGCGGACAATAATGCACATGGCCTGGCCTGTCGATCGATACAGAGAAGCAGAAATAAACAGCTGGTAGAACTGTTTTCCTGTGGTCTAGCCATGCATCATGCCGGCATGCTACGGGCGGATCGGCAAATGGTGGAGAAATACTTTGTAGAAGGTCACATCTCAGTGCTTGTATGTACAGCCACCCTGGCCTGGGGTGTCAATCTTCCTGCCCATGCAGTCATAATACGTGGCACGGATATATACGATGCGAAACATGGCAGCTTTGTTGATCTGGGCATACTAGATGTGCTGCAGATCTTCGGACGCGCAGGCCGTCCACAATTTGATAAAAGCGGTGTGGGCACTATTATCACCAGCTACGACAAGCTGAATCATTATCTTTCCTTGCTGACCAATCAATTCCCCATCGAATCCAACTTTGTGCAATGTTTGGCGGATAATCTCAATGCCGAAATTGGTTTGGGCACCATTTCCAATGTGGAGGAGGCCATCGAGTGGCTTAGCTACACGTGAGTACCTCTCTCTCTTTAGTCCTTCTATAGTCATATTGTTTACAAATATTTCTCCTTTATAGTTACCTCTTTGTGCGCATGCGCATCAATCCACATGTCTATGGCATTGAGTACTCGGAGCTGCAAAAGGATCCAACGCTGGAGGCGCGCCGGCGCGCTTTAATTATGTCCGCATCGATGAGCTTGGATAAAGCCAAGATGATGCGCTTCAATCAGCGCACCATGGACATGAACATAACTGACCTCGGACGCACTGCCTCACATTTCTATATAAAATACGACACAGTGGAAACGTTCAATGAACTGATGAAGCCTTACATGAACGAATCAGAGCTGCTAGCCATGATGTCGCAAGCGCAAGAGTTTCAACAACTCAAAGTGCGCGACGACGAGCTTGAGGAACTGGACGAACTGCGCGAATACTACTGTAAATTAAAGGCGTTTGGAGGCAGCGAAAATGTTTGCGGCAAGGTATATATAAATATTTCTGTTTGTCCAATTCGCTTAACCTAATTCGTTTTTTTTTTTTTTTTCAGGTAAACATTTTAATACAAACATATCTGTCCAACGGCTATGTGAAGTCCTTCTCATTGAGCTCCGACATGTCTTACATTACCCAAAATGTTGGCAGAATTGCGCGTGCCCTGTTTTCCATTGTGTTAAGGCAAAATAATGCTACTTTGACGGGTCGCATGTTGCAGCTCTGCAAGATGTTTGAGCGCAGACAGTGGGACTTTGACAGCCATTTGCGTCAGTTCCCGGCCATCAATGCGGAGACCATTGACAAACTGGAACGTCGGGGCCTAAGTATTTACCGACTCAGAGAAATGGAGCAGCGTGAGCTGAAAGAATGGCTGCGCAGTGACCGATATGCGGAGCTGGTTATACGCTCAGCACGGGAGCTGCCTCTTCTGGAGGTGGAGGCCACTTTGCAGCCTATTACCCGCACCGTATTACGTATCTCTATAAATATCTGGCCGGATTTCACGTGGAACGATCGGGTGCATGGCAAGACGAGTCAAAGTTTTTGGCTTTGGATCGAGGATCCGGAGTCCAATTACATTTACCATTCGGAGCTGTTCCAAATAAGTCGCAAGTGCGTCTTTAGCGGTCAGTCACAACAGCTCGTTATGACCATTCCATTGAAGGAGCCATTGCCGCCCCAGTACTATATACGCGTCACCAGTGACAGCTGGCTGGGCAGCACCACCTGTGTGCCACTGTCCTTCCAGCATCTGGTGTTGCCGGAACACCATCCGCCACTGACAGAGCTGCTACCGTTGCGTCCACTACCAGTTGCCAGCCTGCAGAATGCGGTCTACCAATCGCTCTACAAATTCACCCACTTCAATCCCATACAGACGCAAATCTTTCACTGTCTGTACCACACGGATAACAATGTCTTGCTGGGCGCACCGACGGGCAGTGGCAAAACAATTGTCGCTGAAATTGCCATTTTCCGCGCGCTAAACCTGCAACCCAAGTGTAAGGTGGTGTACATAGCGCCACTTAAGGCGCTTGTCAAGGAACGCATCGCCGACTGGCAGTTGCGCTTCGAGCGTTCGTCGCTGGGCCTTAAAGTTGTGGAGCTTACAGGTGATGTTACTCCGGACATTCAAGCAATTCGCGAATCACAGCTGATTGTTACCACGCCGGAGAAATGGGATGGCATCAGTCGATCCTGGCAGACTCGCGAATATGTGCAGCATGTATCCTTGATCGTGATCGATGAAATCCATCTGCTGGGCGAAGATCGTGGTCCAGTTATCGAGGTCATTGTTTCCCGCACAAATTTCATTACCTCGCACACGGGCCGCTCCATACGCATTGTGGGCTTGTCAACGGCGCTAGCCAATGCTCAGGATTTGGCCAACTGGCTGGGCATTAAACGTGTTGGTCTCTACAATTTCAAGCCCTCAGTACGGCCGGTGCCGCTGCAGGTTCACATCAATGGTTTTCCTGGCAAGCACTATTGCCCGCGCATGGCCACAATGAACCGACCAACGTTCCAGGCCATACGCACATACTCCCCGTGCGAGCCGACCATAGTATTTGTGTCCTCGCGCCGACAGACACGTCTAACGGCGCTGGATTTGATCACTTTTGTCGCTGGCGATGAGAATCCCAAACAGTTTCTGCACATTGCCGAACATGAAATGGAGCTAATTCTGCAGAACATTCGCGATCAGAACTTGAAGTTTTGCCTGGCGTTTGGCATTGGACTTCATCATGCTGGCCTGCAGGAGCCGGATCGCAAGTGTGTGGAGGAGCTGTTTTTGAATCGTAAGATACAAGTTCTAGTGGCCACCGCCACGTTGGCTTGGGGTGTCAATCTGCCTGCACATCTGGTGGTAATCAAGGGCACCGAATACTTTGACGGCAAGGTAAAGAAATATGTGGACATGCCCATTACGGATGTGCTGCAAATGATGGGACGTGCTGGGCGGCCACAGTTCGACAACGAGGGAGTTGCTGTCGTTCTGGTGCATGATGAGAAGAAGAACTTTTACAAGAAGTTCCTCTACGATCCGTTCCCGGTCGAGTCCAGTTTATTGGGCGTGCTGCCCGAGCATATCAATGCTGAAATTGTAGCTGGAACAGTGCAGACCAAACAGGCCGCACTGGACTATCTAACGTGGACCTACTTTTTCCGGCGACTGCTGCGTAATCCATCGTACTATCAGCTGGAGGGCGTAGAGCCGGAGAATGTGAATGCCTTCATGTCTAGCCTGGTCGAACGGGTTGTCTACGAACTGGCGGGCGCTGCCTGCGTCGTCGAACGGGATGGACAACTGGTGCCCACGTTTCTGGGTCGCATCAGCTCCTTCTACTATCTGTCGTACCGCACAATGAAGCATTTCTTGAATGATTTACAACCGGACATGGACACCAAGCAGGTTCTCCTGGCCATTTCAGATTCCTATGAGTTTGACCAGCAGCCTGTGCGCCACAATGAAGACAAATATAACGAGGAATTGGCCGAGGTTCTTCGCTTCCGTCCGCCATCTGCCAGTTGGGATTCCCCCTATACGAAAACATTCCTGCTGTTGCAAGCTCACTTTTCTCGCCAGTCACTGCCCAATTCGGACTATCTGACAGACACCAAGTCGGCACTGGACAATGCGACGCGTGTCATGCAAGCCATGGTGGACTACACTGCGGAGCGTGGCTGGCTATCGACAAGTCTGGTTGTGCAGCAATTGATGCAGTGCGTCATCCAAGCACGCTGGTTCGATGCATGCGAGTTCCTCACGCTGCCCGGTGTGAACGAAGCCAACGTCGATGTATTTCTTAACATTCAGCACGATAATTACGACTATCTAACACTGCCCGTGCTCAAGGAGGTTTGCAGAAAAGATTACGAGGTGCTGGCAAAGCCGCTACGTGATGCATTCGAAGAACATGAAATTGAACAGATATATAAGGTAGAGTTTATATACGGCAATTCGATGGGTTTCTTAAAGATTAATTAAATTTTGTTTAGGTTATTCAAGGTTTGCCGGAAATCTCGCTGCAAATCTTTGTGGAGGGTCGCTATATGGATGAGGAGTACGCCAAACGAGCATTGTCAATTAGCGAAGACTCCGTCAACTGGATCCCCTTACATGCCAACGAGGACTATGTGCTGTGCGTTGATCTGCAGCGTCTGAATGTTGCTGCCGGGCAGCGTAGAAGTGGCGGACAAGGATACACCATATACAGTCCAAAGTATCCAAAGCCAAAGAATGAGGCTTGGTTCCTAACTCTCGGCTCGCAAGCGAACGATGAACTGCTGGCCATGAAACGTTTATCACTTCGAGGCATTCGCTCCTCCAATCGCATCTCCTTCCAGGCGACGCCACGTCGCGGCCGCTTGGTGCTCACGTTATATCTGATGTCCGATTGTCTGATCGGGTTTGATCAGCAATACGATCTGCATTTTGAAATTATTGATGCTAAGGCCTAAACACATACCATAGTCAAACATCATAGCCCGTTCCTTAACTGAAGGCATTTTAGATCATATTTATGGACTAAGTAGTTATATCAGCTGTGCTGTTTGTACTATATATATACATATATGCAATTGTAGTTGAACTTACATATATATTTATTGTGTTGATCCCCCGCATATTTATGACAAATGTCAAATATTTTTATATTTTCCGCCATTTAAGGCGGAATATTCATGTTAACTAACGTATTAAAGAGAGCAAACTGGTTTGAATTATGAATTTCAATATGTTTCTTACTTTTAATTAAATGTATATAGTCTTCTTGCAGGCGAGTTATCATTTAACATAACCTACCGTAAGTGGAAATGGCAAGAAGCGTTTATAAGTAACAAATACTCAATACATTTGTACCGTCTGATAGGCTTCAGTATATAATGGATTTAGCTGTTTTTAGCTCAGTATACTTATCTCTCAGTCTCTTCAAACAACGTTGCCTACTCGTTTGAAATAGCATAGTAATGTTATGAAATTGTAGAATTGTATAAATACCGGCTGCACTGAAACGATAGGAGTCAAACGGGTTTTGTATTGCGTCGCGTCGAGTTCTCCATTGATTATTGCAATGTTATCTATAATTTTGTTAGCCCTAACACTTTTGAACTTGGGCTGGTATTACTTGAAACACCATTATTCGTACTGGGAGAGGCACGGATTTCCGTATGATGAGAACATCAGTATTCCATTCGGTTGCCTCGGCAGCGTCTGGAGAAGAGAGAAGGCAATGGGCATGGCCATTTACGATGTGTATAAAAAGAGCAAGGAGAGAGTTCTCGGCACCTTTCTGCTCTTCCGACCGGCAGTTCTGATACGCGATGCTGAATTGGCACGTCGTGTGTTGGCTCAAGATTTTGCTAGCTTCCACGATCGTGGCGTCTATGTGGACGAGAAGAATGATCCACTGTCTGCGTCAATTTTTGCACTGCGTGGTCAGAGCTGGCGTTCCATGCGTCACAAGCTTTCACCTTGCTTCACCTCTGGCAAGCTGAAGGGCATGTACAGCACCTCCGAAGATATAGGCAACAAAATGGTGGACTATTTGCAGAATGAATTGGCCGACAATGGTAGCAAGGAGGTGGACCTAAAGGCGGTGCTACAAACCTATGCCATTGACATTATTGCCTCAGTTATATTCGGGTTGGACGTGAACAGTTATGAGCAGCCGAACAACAATTTCAAAACGGTGGTCACCGTTGCACGACGCAATACGCGCTTCAATGCTCTGTTTGGCATGATGTTATTCCTGGTGCCCTCGTAAGCCTCAACCAAAATGGAATTGTATTGTAGACTTACATAGACTTCTTTCAGTATCGCAAAGTTTCTGTTCCGCATTGGCCTCAAGAATCCTGTGGGACTGGCCATGTTGGCCATTGTGAAGGACACCATCGAATACCGGGAGCAGCACGGCATTGTGCGCAAGGACTTACTGCAGCTACTCATGCAGTTGAGGAACAAGGGCAGCATAGAAGATGACGACAACAAAAGCTGGAACATTCAAACCTCTGAGGATGGTGAGCTATCGAGAAATATCAGCTGCACTAATCAACTTACTTATGCAACTCTCAATTTCAGGTCAACTAAAGAGCATATCATTGGAGGCAATTACCGCCCAGGCCTTCATTTTCTACATAGCTGGGCAGGAGACGACGGCCACAACGGCAGCCTGTACCATCTTTGAGGTGGCTCAGTATCCAGAGCATTTAAAACGCCTGCAGGCCGAGGTAGATGAGACACTCAAGCAGAATGGTGGCATTATCAGCTACGATGTGCTAAACAAAATGGAGTTCCTGGAGCTATGTGTATTGGAAACGATGCGCAAGTATCCCGGTTTGCCTATGCTTAACCGTGAGTGTACGCAGGACTACAAAGTGCCGGACACGGACCATGTCATTAAGAAAGGCACGCCGGTGGTCATATCACTGCATGGCATCCATCACGATGCAGAATATTTCCCAGATCCTGAAAAATACGATCCCAATCGATTTGCCGATGATAGCAAAAACTATAATCCCATAGCCTACATGCCCTTCGGTGAGGGTCCCCGAATCTGCATTGCCCAGCGCATGGGACGCGTAAATGTGAAGCTGGCCATCGTCAAGATCCTACAGCACTTCAACATCGAGGTGATGAGCCGACGAGAGCTGGAGTTCGAAAACGCTGGCATTGGACTGATACCCAAGGACGGGGTGAAAGTGCGGCTCTCCAAGAAGAAGTCCAATTGAATAGAATTGTGAAACTTAAAATACCATGTCTATCAAATGCCCATTGCGATAGCGAATAAATAATTCACAAAAAAATTGATAGCAACTAAGTCACCTTATCGGGCGCACCAAATAATTAGCCTGATTATGGTATGAATAGAGCCAACACAATTTTAATAAATGCTTGCAATGTAATTTTATATCTCTAACCAAGCACATTTACGAATACATTATATATGTATATATATATATATGTGTATATATATATATATATTTATAGATAGATTATTTATTTACAAAACGATTTCATTTGTTTAAGTTGGGGTAATTATCTTTATCTGGCTGTGTCGTATTAGTTGTTGTCGCGCTGCTCCAACTGCTGTTGCTGTTGCTGCAGCTGCTGTTCGTTCTCGAGCATTTTCTGTTTGTTCTTCTGCCTGAAGATCTCCTTGCTGGCCTCCTTGATGGCCTCAAAGATCTTGGCCTGCGACATAATCTGCTTTTGCACATTCTCAACGGCGGGCTCTGCGTTGATGTCAATTAGATCGCTTAAGCCTTCCGATAGATATTCATTATTGTTGTAGGGCTTCTCCTCGAGCTCGTTGCGTTTGATAAGCGAAAATGGCGGATAGGAGGGATACGAGGTGCGTTTACGTCCACAGCCTAAACATGTGTACTTGAATATTAAAATTGCCTAGCATTTTATCCACTTTGTTTCGAATTACCTGTAAAAGCGTTGCAAAAGGGTCTTTTCTCATATTTCCATTGTATGACGCCGCTGAGCTTGTGCTGCCAAGAGAATGGAAAGTAGACTTCAAATAAAACTTACTACAGACATAAATCACTTAATCACTAATACTTCAATGCACAACTCAAACGTTCATAGCTTTAACTTCTGAAGATTTAACTTATTTAAGGCCTGATTATCTCAAAACTGCAATGTATCAATCTAGCACTCGTAAGACTTGATTATCTCAAAACGGCTCTCTATCATCAATCTATCTATCTATCAATCTATCTCTCTGAGCTCCATAACACGATCTTTCAAGGTCTAAAGACTTCATATCTTTAATTACTTTCATATCTTAAGACTTGAATCTGTTAAGATTTTAATCTATCAAGACCTCTCTTCAGATTTCAATCTCTCAAGACTTCATATTCTGCAAACTGGAATCTCTCGAGAGGTTAATCTCTCACGATTTCAATCTCTCCAGACTTTAATCTCTTTAGACTTTAATCTCTGAAGAGCTTAATCTCTCAAGATTTCAATCTCTTCAGACTTGAATCTCTATAGACTTTAATTTCTCGCCAAACTTCAAGGAGTACCTTAAAGCGACTTAAAGACCTCAACGATACACTTAACAATTTTATGACAATTTTATGTTGTTGTAGTTCAATAAAACTAAACATTAAAAATATAAAAATTCAACTACACTTAACATTTCATAGTTTTCATTTTATAGTCGTACACAAATTTTATTGCACTGCATTTACTCACATTCACTTCATTGTTTTCGGTTTCAAGCGAAGCGTTGGCTGTGCATAAGCATAACATTATGGCAGTTAGGTAAAAGCAAATCTCCACAGTGGCTCTCATTTTGATGCTGAGCACTTCGATTATTATTTTTCTAGATAATCCGTTTAGCGCCTGCACTGTTTAACGCTTCAGAAGCAATTGATGGTATTTTGCGTTAGCGGGCCTTGGTCAACATGTCGGCTACGCAATGTGAGACTTGTTCCTTTCAGGATACGACAGGACTGCCCGTGGCGCAGCGAATGTATTTTGGTTGGCAGTTAATAGCATTTTGTGTTTTCCCGACCTAACCCAGAGACCGCCCACTTGTCCTTAACGTATTCTTGAGGTTTTGACGTTTTGGCCTTAAGCTAAGTTTTCATAATGCTGTAAACTTAAAGAAGCTTACTTAGTAGCTTGATGTAACAATCAAAAATGGAAATTGGCTGAATATAAAATACATTCAGAGGAAATAGAGCTAACATCGAAAAGTATACCACAAATTTTGAGCAGTGTAACTGCAACGTTGCGAAGTTCTCCTGAGAGCACAAGAGAAATCTTTCTATTTTTAAAAAACGACACGAAAACCCACTCGCAAAGACATATATATATATAAACATATATGTATTCGAATACGAATACGAATACGTATACGCATACAATATAATCACCGGTTTTTTGTAGCTATGTATGCATTTATTTTCCGATAGTTTTCCTCACGCTTCTTCAGGAATTTTCGGCAAAAACAGCGGCAATTTCGAAACGATTCTCAGTGAATACGGAACGCGTGAAGACGGCTCCCAGCGGAATTTAATAAGAAAATATAAAAAAAATAATTACATAGACGGAAAATTGAAGGCGTATAAAAAGTATAAACAATCTATGTGAACTTTGTATAAACAAAAGCTCAATTCAAGCCAAAAGCGAGCAAAATATAAGTTAAGAGATATTTTTTTGTGGCACGCTTATATTGACTTCGAAACCGTTGGAATTTCTGTGTCATTTCTACTAAAATAGCATGTGAGTAATTAAGAGAAATACATAAATTATACAATTTAATTGGAAAAGCCTTACAAATGAGAGTTATTATAGGAAAATATCTGATACCAAAAGGAAATTGCATTTCACTCGCTTCGATTCTTTCTATATTCTTCCTTCGTACAATTTATTTCTATTTTTCGTGTCTATGCTAAGTAAAACACTAAAAATACCTCAGCTATTTTCAGTTTTCATCACTTTTACCGTCGCACATTGGCTTGACAACTTTCCAGTCCTGTTTCATGTCTTTTGCCCCCAATTTCATTTGATTTTATGTTGTTTATAATAAAAAGAAAATCGCCAAAATGAATGGTAATGTCGGAATTATAAACATTTCGGCACGAGTGACCATTAGCACTCATATCTGTTGAGCATTACAACATACATATATATATACATATACACATATCGTGTAGCAAGAATGAAGGTGTTCGTAAAAAAGAATTTGGTATTAAAAGAACATTTCTTGTTGTAGGAAATTGTGTCGAATGACGTTTGCCGCTGCAGTCAAGACTCTTTTTGTTTTGGCGTCGTCTTTGTATTTATAAATATGAAAATTTATTTAATTTAATTTTCTCACTCTACTATTTATAGCCGGACATGTCAGAGCCCGCAGCCCAACAACAGCCGTCACAGAATGGCAAAGAGCGTTCCAAGTCAACCGAGGAGAAAGAGATACCACGCGAACCGGCGCTGGTTTGCAAAGACATCAATGTAAGTATAGAAGACAATTCAAATATATCTAAATGGACTCTATAGTATGCGCTCTGAAGCTATAAACCCAAACGGCTGAAGTCATTTAATGAGCATGAACTCGTCTCATCTATTGCAGATAAAGACTGAACTCGAGTGCCTGGTCAAACTGTTGGATGGCAAAATTTCCAAAGAGGAGGAAGTAGCCATGGAGGAGCTGCATCAGTATTTGATTGAGGACGATGGCTCCTGGGCGTTGGGTGATAATTTTTTGGTATTTGTACAGCGTGTGCTGCGGGATGTTCAGTCCTTTTCGCCAGATACACGGATACATATGCTACGCACTTTGGCTTATGCGGCCCTTAAAGATGATGTGATCATAATACTGCACCAGGATCGCAGAGATCACACGCTAATGAATTTCGCACAGGATATTGACAAGCATACACCCGAGGAGCAGCAGGCGTGGGCCATGTTTGTAAGTCTCTCAACTCCAATCTTGAAATATATGAAAGTTATAGTAACTATTTCTTCGCTTGGCAGACTTGCAATCTTTTCGAGAATGTTGGTCCCTCCGAATGGCTGCTGTACATTTCGGAGTGGGAATACAATGGCCAGGCCATATCAAATATACGTGTCACCACCAAGGTGGCCGTGCACTGCATACTCTCCAACTGTCCGCAGCTGAAGAACATTGGCTCCATGATCCTGTACAATATCGCCATCAAGGAGGTGAAGACTGTGGTAGGCACTAGATGTGGTAATAGATACGCTTAGTTCAGCTCACTTCTGGCCTCATTTGTAAATAGGTTTTCGACGACGTTGCCGTGGAGCTGGCCATGGCCATACTGCAGTTCTTCCAAAGCAGTCCCAATGAAGACCAAATCTTTCGCACGCTGAAGGCGCTGGCACGTTTCCTTGAGGTATTGACCCACATTCGCATAGCATTTCTAGTGACAGCTGTCAACTCTTGTGTCATTTCTCATCGCTTCAGGTATCCCCGGACGTACAGATGATTATTCAAATGATTGGACCGCATCCAAAACAATTTGCTGGCAAAAGCGAACGCGTCGACGAGCTGATAAAGATAATTAGTCGCAAAGTGCCCGCCTAGGAGCACAAATAGTTCATAAAGACCACTATCATATAGACAAGCCCTACTTTATAACTTTATATACACACAATGTATTTAGACCTTTCAATTTTTTAAAGCATTTGCGCGACACAATAAACATTTCTATTCTTTACTAACTATTCGTCTCACATCATGCCATCGCCACAGCAGAGCTTCAGCAAGGGGAATCCGTTGCCGGCACTGGCGCGCAGCTGCAGCCAGTGCTTCTGATTGGAGACAAACATTTCGGATGGCAGCTGCGTATTCTGGGCACTGGCATCGTCTATGGAATCAAAGCAAGTGTCGGAGACTAACACCAATTGGAAACGAAGTCAAACACTCACTTGTCTTCTTGTCAAACCTTGGCGACTGCGTTATCGATATGATATCTTCTGGCTTGCGTAGAAGTATCTTGCCCACGCCCTTGCACATGCGCAGCACTTCGTGATTGCTCAGCTTGTCCAGCTGCTGCTCGTCCAGCAGAGCGCAGCCGAGTATCCACTCGCGCACATCGTCAAAGTCATTGAGCAGACGCAGAGCTCCATTGACACTGAAGCGTATGCGCTTCTTGTAGATGAAGTCCAGCCACGCCTCGCAGATCAGCTTCAGTATGAGCTTCAGTATGACTATGTCGTTGGTAGCGCGTATGGTGGGCAAAAAGATCTGATCCAACACGTAGCCGACATACAAGCTCTTCTCCTCATTGTTGTAGACGCTACGCTGCCAATGGCTAGCGTCCGGAAAGCAGAGCGTGAAGTTGGCCAAGCTAACTATGCGGCAGACCGCCGACAATATCTGAACACATTCATCGGTTGTTTTCTGGCGAATCGGACAAAGCAATTGTAAACGACAGTAGCTGAGAGCTAGGCACATACCTTAAGCAAGTCTATATTATTGGTGACCTCAGTGATTAGTTTTGTGCGCAGCGCGACGCACACTAGCATCAGTATATCGCTCAGATTGGCAGTGAGTTTGGGCAGTTTGAAGGAATTGAAGACATTCAGGCATTGTTTCACATCGTGCTCCAGTATTTGAAAGAAGCGATCCATTTTCCACTCGCAGCACAGCAGCTTCGCCTGCTCGGTGACCCACAGGCGCATCGAGTGCACCGAGTGATCTGAAAGAAAAGAGCTCTCCAAAGTCAAGCGCTTGCTTACCTTACCTTCCATCACACTTACCCAGCCTGTGTAGTATAGGTATTTGTTCAGCAACAGGCAGCAAACTCGAATTATTATGCGCATCCGTATTGGCAAAGTATTGATTGCTCAGGTTGACCAAGTTCGAAAAGACACTGATCCACACTGTACCAGTGGGCGTGCCTTGCTCCTGTAATGCAGGCAGTCGGCTTAAAGGTATTCACACTCGAGTTCTATGCGAACTTACATTCTTGGGAAAGTCCCGATACTGTTGGACGACTTGTTGGACCAAACGTTTCGGATTACTCGATGACACGAGCGCCAACCGAAAGAGCTGATCCCAAATGTTGTTGCACATAAAGCCAGTCAGAATCTCGCCAATGCCACGTAGCGTGGAGTAAACCGGTTCGGGTATATCTGTAAGAGGGCTCGAAAATCATGTATGTCTTCTCATATATTATTATTGTTCAATATAATCCTACCATTCACATTCTGATGATACAGCCAGCAGCGTATGGAATCAATATGGGTGAGATTATAGCAAGACATTGGCGTATCGATCCACCAGAGCAATATGTGATCCAATATGATGCCCACGTAGGACCAGAGCAAACGCAAGCCACGCACTATGTAGGCATTCATGTCCACCTCACCTGTCCTGCGACTATCTGCTTGACATCAAGCTTATTAAGGAAAATGAATAGCTATCTATCTATCAATCAGACATACCGAATATGGTTGGGCAGATTTCCGTTGCCTTGGCTATAAATTGTGCTAAAAAGAGGCACTCCTTCTGCAGGTAGCTCTCGGTATGCTTGCAGCGTAAACTCTGATTATCGTCAGCGTCTGTGTCGTTCGTAGCCGCTAGCTGCATGGATTTGTAGTCCTGAGCAGTATCAGAGTACTGTTGATAGTCGCCGGCAGCAAAGGAGATATTCAAGGTGCGCAGGATCTCCAAACTGGAAGAGGTGGACTCGTTGGTGTGCTGCTTTTGCTCCCGCCAGGCATCCTGCTCGCCCATGTTAAACAGTCCAAAAATCAAGTCCAATGCATTCTGCTCCACACGCGTTTGGGCCACATACTGTAAGGGAAAATCGCAACAATTCTGAAACTGGAGGGCTCGAGGAGCTTGACTACGGACCAACCTGCAGCACGAAGCCAAAGTCAATGTTTCTGAGGGACATTAGCAGAGCGGGATACATATTGCTGCACACATTGGCATGCATCTCCTCCTTGCACTTGCCACTCAATTTCGGCTCGGTCGCCTCATCCTCCACTGGTGCCTCCTGCTCCGGCTGCGTAGCTGGCCACTGCTTCGAGCACGTATTCACATTGCGGCACTTGTTGTACAGCTGAGTGATATGCAGTGCCCAGTTGAGCCACATCTCTGACTGCATCGACTTGCGCAGCAGCAGACACAGCTGCAAGAGACATACTTATAGATCGGCTAAAGTGGGCCAATGTTACCCACCGTTCGCTTGAGCACAAAAGTCAACTGGCAGAAGCGTCTGTCGTTCAGCTCCATGATCAGATTGAACTTGCGCATGAGCAGCGCATTGTAAGGACTGCGCTTGATCTTTTTCGAGAGCGACTGAAAATCTGCGTTTTTCGTTTCGTCCTTCAGGCTCCAGTAGAGCTCCACCACATGCTCGCACTCCTCCAAAATGGTATCCTAGCATTGGGCAGTCAAAAACAAACTGATTACCCACCTGGCTCAACTGTCTGACCAGCGCACTCACATGTTCGCTGAATATAGACGAATTAACATCGATCACAATCCGCTTGGTAATGCGTCGCAGCTCCAGGCCCAAATTGCCGATTTCCGCGAACGTGTGCATTGGCTGCGATTTGTTGCGGCAGTACCATTTTGGTGTCGTGCTCATTTTGGGAGTTACCCCGTCGCCGGGGGGATGAGCCAACCCAGTCGCACTCCTTGGCCAATCGCCTGCCCCTATCTCTAAATAGCTTTTTAATTATTGTGTCTCCCAGGCACGCATTCGTCGACCCTTCCTTATTCCAGTCTAAGTTTACCCCGAGTTATCAAATGCAAATTTTGCGACTGTTTAATCGATGCCAGGACGCGAGGCCGCATCGCCTAGCAACGCACGCATGTAATTCCATTTCCACAAGGCTGAATAGACCAATTGTATAGAGAAAATAACGCCCCACACCTAAGCGCTCTTTGCCAATCAAACATCATTGGCAGACTAACAGACAGACATTTGTCATTGTACCCTACACTCAGAAAGCAGAGCTCTTTGGAATGCGAGATGTAAACATGTACAATCGTTATTTAGGAATTGATATGGCCAAAATTGTATTGTATTTAAGAATCGAGTGTGTAGCCTCAATTTGGAGTATAATTTGTACAATAGACCAACCTTAGCAGTTGCTTAATAGACCTAGAAGCGTTCATATAATACAATAATCACGGCAAGTTTATTGATATATGTGTGGTTATAGATAGGTTTGATTTTATATATATATTTTAGTTTCGTTTTGTTTTGTTTTTCTTGAATAAATGTAAATATTCAACACATTCTTTTGCTTGTTTTCATAATTGTTTGTTTGTTTTTGTTATCATCTATGCTTATACTCTCGTTCTATACACATCAACATCTGGTTTTGTTTTGCTATCACATTGAATTGTTACATTTATAGTAGTAGTTGCTGCATGTTGCCTGCTTAAAATCTTTAAAACATGTTTTAAATTTCATCTGAAACATTTTAGGTATACATGTGTATCTGTGGGCTGTGTTTTGTGGATTGTATATTGTGTATTGCGTGTTGCGTGTTGCGTGTTAAGTGTTGCTGTGTCTGTGAGTCTCTCTCTCGGATGCGCACAGTTGAGGAGCACACATTTAAAAGTTTTAAACATTTTTTACTGAATATTAAACGAACTTCTATATCTCATAATCATCGTCACAATAATAATAAACGCGCGTTTTTTATACAAAATAAATCTTAAATTGCTTGCGATTTTCTATACACTATATTAGTGGATGTCGCTTAGTTCCTTGATTCATCTCTCTCTCTTTCTTTCACAATTCTCTTTTCTCCTTCTTAAATTTTCTTCGTTCCTTGTGTTTACGATACATTAATGAATTAAAAATATAGAAATAATATGTGTATACATAAAGGTATATATCTGCTTCTTCTGTTTCACGCATTGTAAAATATATGTATAACGTATATATTGTATATATATATATATATATATATAGATTTATATAGATTTTGTATGCACTTCGGCTATGTCTACGTCTAATCCTAACCACGCTTCGCTTAATTCTCTGTAGTAGTAGTTGTAGTAGTAGTAGTTGTAGTATCCTGCAGCTCTTCGAGAGTTGGAATATCGTCTTGTAGTTTCAGCACTTGCAACCTTGGGTTATAGTGCCCGGCTAAATAATATGTATCATTGTTATCATATATGGTTTGATATTGCTTCGAATCGGTGCCAAACTTGTCAAAGTAATTGACAAACGGCAGCACCTCGCACCGATGCGATATAGTCTGCACATCGTTCTCATCCTCATGTGGCGATTCAAATAGAGCACCCTGTCAGGATATAGCAACAAATATGAATATAACAATAAGATTTCAAATTTCAAATCGATTTTAGTTTACCGGATATTTCAATTTTGGACAGCCCGTGGTTTCCTCCGGATGATAGAACCACGCCACGCGCACCACTCTATTGCCAGCGGTGGTCTCCCACATGGACTCGATGCGTCCAATGTAGGGGCGATCTGGTCTACCCGTAGATAGAAATACTGCACAGTCCCCGACCTGCAATTCAAACGCAATTATTAATGCTTTTCTCGCTATGGGAGATATGTGACAGTTACCGTTATAGTCTCCTTGCCCCTTTTGATTGTTTTATA